TTAACACCTCAATATTTAGATGGTAATTTATCTGAAGTCACACGTAACCTTGTTTTAATCCCCCTTTTTCTATCCATCCAATAAAAACAAAGTCACAATCTGCTACCTACGTAGGTAACATACCTTTCACTAGTGACTAGTCTCTACAAAAAGAACTCGGCAATAAATCCAAAATGTTTGGAGCACGTGTTGCCCGTGTCAATTGTTTTTATCCTGAAGGTCCAGTTTTTGGGCAATCCAAAGTGTACCCCCCTGGGCCTACCTTTACTGCATTGTAGCCCCATTGCTGCCCCCCACACAAGGAAAACTTTCACAATCAATCATAACAGCTGATGGTGTTATCACATGCACTGATCTCCCAAGTTGGAGGTACAAGACCAACCCCCCCCCCCTTCAAATATTTTGAGATGTGTTGCCCCTTGTTCTTATTGCCCCTGTTTCTGCATTTTGATTGACCCTCCTGGTTTGTAGGAATTTCCAGCTTCTGTTCATGAATTATGTTGGCGTAACAATATGTTGGGAATTCAGGCAGATTTTTGGGGTCATTTTCCAAAAAATTAACGGACATGATTGATGTTCCTAGCTTTCTTCTTAGAATGCAGATTTTTTTAAAATAAGGTACACCTGTAAAAGGCAGAAATCTCACCAAAGTTCTGGTGCATACATTTCATTGTTTGGATACATGTACGGTATGTGAGGAATATGCATGTACATTGTATACATATGTAAGTATTTTTGGTTGGAAAATTGCGTATCTAACGATTATAGCTGACAGGAACAAGGAAATGAAACTACAGAACTCTGCAAAAAAAAAAAACACCAGATTTTTGTGTGTTTCAGTAACCATGCTCAATTTTCATAGAGCTGGTACTGGTACATGTAGGTAGAAAATGTTTCAAAGCAAGGTCATGTACTCAGCAAAACTCTGCTGTAAACCACTTACGGTACAAGTTAGTATTCCTCTGCATGGCAATTTCACTGGTAACCTGCTTTTGCAAAGCAAATATTTCTGTGCTTTAAACAAATTTCTGAACTAAACAGCTCCACGAAATTGGCCCCATTTTTTTTTTAATAACAAAATGCAGAGGTTGATATATGAACTCAATATCACTATCAGGTGAGCTGCACATGAATAACATGAATTCATTGGGGAACTGTAAAGTTTCCAACTAAATGGACCACACGTAAGGGCCCTTCGTACTGTCTACAGACTACAATCTCCGTGTTGGATTCCAGTCCAACATGGAGATTTCAGGAACCCCTTTCACTCTAGCAAGAATCCAACATGGCTTCTACATGGATCTGGTGCGGACGGAGATTCTGTCCCCCCCTCCCTCTCCCCCCGAAAATTCTGTCTCCCCCCCCCCCCCCCTGATTCTGTTCCCCCCCAATTTGCCTGGCTTGTCTGGGATATTGTGTCTTGCAAGACGGTTTGTCCTAGGTGATTCTGTTCCCCTTGCAAAACGGAGATTGTGGTCTCCAACAGAGAATATATGCCCCACCAGGGGTTGAGGTCCTCCACGCGCAACACGCTGGAACTACTTTAGTGAACTTATCTAATATTCCACCGCTCATTTTATGCAGCTTCCACACGTTTTGCTAGATAACTAAAAGAAAAGATAAGACAAAACACTCCTGTTGGTCAAGAAATATTGTGGGTATTATAAAGAGAAAAATAAGAACCATGCACTAATAAAGATTAGTTCAGTATATCAATGGAGTTATTGCATAAAATATTGAGAGCACCTTGCCGAGTTAAATAAAAAAAAAAACCATTTCTATGCTTGAAGCATCTTTATGCATTTCATTATTAAGTATCAGGCATTTGCCACTGCATTTAATGCAGTGTATTTTGGCTACTGGAAGGCCATGCCAAAAAGTTTGATTTTAACATGTTAAAATCCATTTTTTTTTGGTTTTCCATCAAATTATATTATTCACTTTTCAAAGAAAAGGCAACTGCAACCCACATTTCTGGTTACTATTTCTTTGAAAGCTTCACCAGACACGATTATCCACATCCTGAAAAAAACACCCAACTTGTCAAAACTCAACACATTAATCACTATACTGCGCTGGCTCATAAATGTGTTATCACGCTTCTTAATTTTTTTCTCTTCATTTTCCTAACCTGAGCCAAAGTGAGGTCTGACTTAGGATGTGTAGGTCAAAGGTCGCCCAGGGGACTTAATCAATTATTTTTAAACTGGTCCCCCTGTACGTTTGTGTTGCGTACCGGTATTCATGCTAGGCCTACATGTATGTAATTTATGGGCGCCGTGCTGCAGGAAAACTAGCTCCAAATAATACAAAAGTTTTTGCTTTCTGGTATTGTTTATGATTTATTAGCAAGATTTATGATAAGGTTAATATGAACTAAAAGAACTTTTTTTTAAAGAGTTTAGATTTATTATTCAAAACAGTTTTCAGAGCACTGTGTGGAATAATGGACTCTGTGCACAAGTGCTGTACCTCAATGATCACAAAGGGAGAGTTGGGAGAGATGTTCATGCGAAGTCGCTACGAGATTGTGCAAGTTCAGAATAACATTTGTTGCGCATGTATTCGCGCCAAATGTGTACTACCTCCCAATCTTGCCCCATAGTTGTGGGGACCACTCCTGTTGAGCAATAGTTACTATGGGTACCGCAGACACTATGGGGACAGCAGAAAGTCCCCATAAGTACATGTACATGTACATGTTTATGATGTAGGTCATAATTTCCCTAACAATAGAAATCGTCCCCATAACGCGGTGCCGGCCAGGATGCGCACGCCCTTCCGGGATGTCCCTTTCCCTGGAACTGTGGTGGTCAAAAAGTGCCGTCTATTGTATTTGTCCGAATTCACCATAGAACAAGGAATGTAATGAACATGTTTTTACTGACATTTACGTACGTGTATGTAAACATATCTGAGCACCAGAGGGCAGTGTACAGTCAAATGTATGGGGGATACGTACTGTAGGCTGGCTGATGTACATTTACAATGAATCAAAACAGCCATCGAATACATACATGTACAATGTACATGTGTACCAGGGGTATGTGTAGATAGCCAATGTGCACTAGAAATACGTGTACATGTACACTGTACAGCCATTTGAAGGATCCTTGCATCTTAGTCACCCCAGGACATTCTTGTATTGTTACACAATTGCTTGATGAAGAGGAAAATTACAAGGAGAGTTGCTCCCAGGGGGGAAGCAATGAGGCAAGAATGTTGTAATGAAAGGAAAACACATGTAAGCAGGAGGATTTCAAGTACAGTACGTGGATATTAGGCCACGTAAATTAAATTAAATAGTTTCTCGTCCTGGCCGTTTTTTTTAAGAAGGAGGTGGTCCTTTTCTTTTTCCCAGATGATGGATTTGTCAAGATGGATTCCTCCATTTTCTTGACTCTTTTGATGAAACTGTTGTCCAAATGAGGCGTTAACACGTTCTAACATATTCTATACTTTATAAATATAGAGCAATTTTGCGGAAAGAACATTAAAAAAACCAAAAGATATTGCAAATGCTTGATTTTAAAAAAAGAAAAAAACAAGGGGATGGCAGCTGGGAAAAAAAGGAATTGGGCAGGGGCGAGAAACTGCTTTATTTTTTTGACTTGGCCTTACAGCTTGTGTTGTCTTGTATCTGCAAAAACAGTTCTCGTAATTACATGTGTGCTTCAAATAATCGTAAATCTGCTGTAACATACGGTACCCGTATGCCCGTATACGTGTACATGTGTCTTTTCTGTGGTGATCCATATTCCTCCCAGACCTTTTCAAATCAACCAGGAGGTTTTTTCAGAATCTTACAGGAATGAGGAGGCAATGCCCAGTCAGGTGGCTAGATACAGAGGACTTGGAACTCCTCCGGAGTTTTTGGGTGCAATAACGCAGCTTTGGTTTCCTTGGATGGTTTGGACAATTCAGGAAGGTTCCCAACCCACCCCCCCTCCTCAAACCACCCCCTCCCCCCAAAAGGTATGATGGTTAAAAGGCAATCAATATTTAGTATCCACCCCTTGCTTTCCACGCAACTGCACGCTAGATTTGTATACAAATCCCTTCGCCTGGCAAAAATGTCATTAACCACACCTCCCACAAGTCGCCTTGGCAGCTAAAAAAAATAATGGAAAAATCACAGTGAATTTTGCCAGCACGAATCAGACAGCCTTCCAATGGAGCATAAATCTGAGATCATTTTCAAATCCTTTCCGCTAATCGCTGTCAGCCTGGGCCTTAATCAGCGACCTTGATACATGGTTTGAAGCACATAACTCTGGTGTAAGGGGATGAGCCCATGTCCCTGGCAACATATGGAAAAGTTCAACTTGGGAACATTTGGTTTTGAGGTGTAGCCACACTCATTGGTTTGAATAATTTGGAAAATTGTACATTTACCAGAACATTATGTACATTTTCCTGCAAATGTACGTACATGTAGGCCTAATGTACCGGTACAAAGGTAATACAATGTTTGCTTTTGCTGTAATTTTCAGAAATGGATGGATTTGGGGTAAATGTAAACTGTTTTACAGCAAATATTGTTACACTGACCTGTTTAAAGTTTTGTGTTCATTCATGTAAATGCTGGAAAAAACCAAGAAAATTGTTCTTGTAGTCTGGTTCCCCGACGCTACTTAACCAGACTTGCTGGCTTGCACCCATTCACGGATGTATAACCAATTGTAAACAAACTGGACTAACTAATTTAGTAAATTAGGGGAAGTACATGTATTGAAAAAAGTCATATTTTTTCAATGATGGTCGGCCGACCATCCTTGGTAGTGATACAACTTTTCTTGAAAATGACAGCACACCAGGTGCCATGATTTCACAGGATGTTTGAGACTATTACTCACTTACAGTCAAGTAAAGGTATTTCATAACAAATTGGTAGGTTTGTTCTTTGATGTTTGCAAATGTTATATTACCTTTAACCTTGAAAAGAGTTGTTTTTGCCATCTTTTATTTCTAATTTCTCTTCTGTTTTCTTCATTTTTCAGAATTGCTCTGTTCTCAGTTTGATGTTGCTGTACGCAGAAATGGCATCGGGCAGTGCATTTAAACATCACCAGTAAATAATTATAAAAACTGTAAGTAGTTTTGAGACAATAACCAGAACTAACATGTGCAGCATTAAACATGGAAGACTTTAACTGAAAGGAAAGTTTCAATAGAATCAAATCTGTTAAACAGAAACGAACAAGTAGAAATCAACGCTTGTGTGATTACTTAAAGAGGTTGTGGAATGCTTGAAGACATTGCTGTCATTTTTCTGGTATATGTAACCTAAGATGTGATTAAATAAAAAAAGAGGATTGTTTCTGTCATGAAATGAATACAAAAGGTACTTTTGAGAGCTGTTTTCAGGTCCTGTTTCGGCCGGAGCGTGCAATTTGTGTAAGAGTTGTGTAAAAGTTGGGGGCAGCACACAAATCACAGTAAACTCATGACGTAATAAACAGGACTCCTGATGAAGCGTAGTTGCGAATATAATGGGTCTACTCTACAACGGAAACAATACAAAAAACAAAAAGACGTTCAGCATTCCTTAGCCGCTTTAATTCATATAGGCTTTCCCTAACAAAAGCAAGTACAAAGTAACGTGAGGACTAATGTACAGAGTTTAGAGAATTGAGAATGGGAGCTTTTTAAATAGTATCCTTGGATAGAGCTCCATTTTTTTTAGGGGGGGGGGTGTTCTTGTAACCACAGCTACTACTCTCCCAGTGCACCAAGGGTGAAAAGGCCGAGCATAATTCAAGCTGGCTTGCCTGGCCCAGATAACATCAGAAGTGTGTCTGCCACACGCCAGGCAGCAAGTCACCCCCTGTCCGGACTTGACATAAATTTCAAATTCGGCTGTGAATAATACGACCATAGAAAAAGAAAAAAAAATTGCGGGGGACTTAAAGGTTAAAAGTCAAAGGGAATGGGCTGTTGGGTAGCCCTGGAGTTGAAAAAAAGAAAAAAAAAAAGCAAAGGAATGAAAGGAAATTAGAAGAGATTGAAAGAAAAGGAACAAGGCATGCCGAGCATTCCAACATGTTATGAGCGTGGTTGGTGGCTGTAGTCAGGGGAGCGGGTCGGCAATTACTGATGGGACAAACATTGTGATGTCACCCACTGGGTCCACGTGGCAGGTACGGGCCCGATACCTGGTTCGCCCCGGATCGGGTTTAGTGGATGGTGTAACCTAGAGTTAAAGGAGCACTTTTGACCAGAATGCATCCATTTGGGCTCTAAAATATCAAAAAACAAAAACAGTCGGAAAGATGGTAACAAAGTTCACACAATACTGGAAAATGTACGGTTTCCATGTAAATATCGTGCGTTTGAATTTTGGGGTACACAATTTTAGATTCTAAAAAGCAAGCCATTAAAGCGCTATATTCGTCATTCCAGTAGCACATGTTTCTTTTCAAAAAGTTGTTTCAAACACACACGTGCTTTCATTTTTGAGAGATGTGATTTCTGACAGGGAATTTTCACTTGCTTGATGCGCATTAAAACGCGGCGCTAGTCTGACATTGACAGCCTTGGCCCATTATTCGATGGCTTTAATCGGTGCTGAAGTTCATATAGTCAAGGCAAAATATAGCGGGCATGTCAGATGTATCCAAACGGGGCTTTTCAATATTTTTTTTCCATAAAGGCTGGTTCATACATGTACTTCATGCGAATGCGATGCGAGCTTGATGTCACAAAGCATTTGCTGCGAAATTCGCTGGAGTTGAAATGTGTTCAACTTTTGCAAATTTGCAGCTCAAAAACTTGCCCTGACATCACAAATTCGCGTTCGCGTTCGCTTTTGCGCCGAGTATGAACTGGCTGTTACATGTGTAAGTGTAAGACATTATGTGGATTTCTTGCGACTCAAAAACATTTGAAATGTGGTTAGTAAACAAAGCGTTAAATGTTGTCAAGCTCGGGATAAATGAGTACCTTTAAGGTTTCAGCCCGCACACCTGCTGAGGGGGGTGGGGCCCAGTGGCGACTGCCCACCACAGCTTTGCCAGCCTAGCAGTTTACCACCAGCGGCCCTGGCTGTAGTTATTTTTATGAGTCCACTGCTGATTTTGGAAAGGCTGGTCCAGTTGTATTGTGTAAAAACTAGATCTTTGAAATTTGTGTCGTGGGTTTAGGGTTGCATATCACCAGTAAATTTCTATTGGGGCCAACAACAAAACAGGGAAATAATTTTGTTTATTCCCTTATTTTGTTTTTTAATACATCAAGTGAAAACCAAAGAAGGTATTTTCAGCTAGACAGAGCAAAGCAACCCGCATCAAAAATGAGTGTCCATGTTATTTCATCATCGTGAAGAGGCATTGCCTGTCACCATCCACAAACTTGTTTTTGCTTGATTGAAATTCCACTTTCACTTTTGCACCTGTTCTTGTGGACGGTGCTTTTTTTAATGACACACGATGAACATGTTATTGTATACAAAATTTCAGCTGAAACAAACGTCTACCAGCTTTTGGTCCACGTACAATACCATTGCCCAAACTTTAACACTCAAGTTTGTAAGCCATGTTTCCTGAAAGGTACATGTAATGTACAACATTTGCAAATGTTAAAAACTACCAAATTGTTAATATGAAATACCTAAATCTGACTAACTTTGTAAGTAAATAATAGTCTAAAGCATTGTGTGAAATAATTGTGCCTGGTATGCTGTCATTAAATAAAAGTGCAGTTTTGTACTATTTTGCGACAATGGTTCAGCCAACCATCGTTCGGGGAAAAAAATTGCTTTTTTTCAAATACTACCCTCAATTGACCAAATTTAGTTAGTCCACATTTTGTTTGCAGTCGGTAGGATACCTGTGAATGCACATAAGCCAGCTAGTCTGGTTCCGTGACATCTATACACATTGTCCGTTTCGTCTGAAGCGTTGGTTCAGGGAACCAGACTACAAAAACAACAATTTTAATTTTTTTTGAAAACACAAAACTGTGAACAGGTCTGTGGAACGATTTTTGCTAAAATATACCAACCCCCAAATCCGTCCATGTATACCTGAAAAAATAAAAAGTAGAACTTTGTCTTTTTCCTTTTTTTTTCTCATCGATGACACCCATCTGTCTATCATGTGCTACAACAGTTGTTCATCATTCCGGAACAAAATCCTCAGAATTTGGTATCTGACGTCGTACTGGGTTTGTGGGGAGCGTGGTCCCTAATGCGAAAACAAAATGTTCGCAAACTTGGCTCCGAGATCCGAAGATGGTAGAAATAAAAACATTGGTTGGTCGTGGTGCCTGCGGAGTCTACGAGCAACATATGGTTTTGTCTCAAGGTTAGGAAGATCTTCAGTGGGCGTACGGGCAGATCTTCTCCAGCTTGACGCTCTGCAATGTGCATCAGCTCAGCATCTGTCTGATATTTACTTATACTCCGTCAATGTATGATATATGTTAATGTCGACCAAACTGTAAATCCAAGGTTAATTTGTATTTAATCATTTACAGGTCCATGTCCAGTTAGTCATTCCCTACACATGTCGCTTGAATGTATAGCCCGAATATGCATTGCATGGACATGGTACGTGTACATGATTGTGAATATGAATGCACGGTACATCTAAAAAGTGAATGAAAATGCATTCCTTTCACTTCACTGAAAATGAAAACAATAACATCTGCATTCGGTATGTACATATATACATGTGTGGGTCATTCTATAAATTTGGGGTACATGTACACTTTGTTCCTGTCCCTGATCTGAGTTTGTAATTCTAGGTGCACTGGATGCAGTCATCCTCCAAGAGTGATTATGAATAGCAAACGAACCATCTTCAATCCTGCAACATCTTCCAAAACCTCCTGGTTGATTTTGAAGTACCGTAGCTGGAAAGAGTTGTGGGGTCTGTGACGAAAACACGTTCATGTTATGACATGTGACGAATAAGCTGAGGGCAAGTAGGCAGATTCAGTCACGCTTCACTGATGTCCGCTATAAGTGACGTCGCAAAAAAAATGGCAGCCACTGCATACACCACCCAAAAAACTGAACAAAAGCAATCAATTGGCCCCCCTCCCCCTTGCTTTTCATATTAAATTTGGGGTGCAAAATTGTTGGACCCACTTTTTCGGGGAACAAAAATGTTTTTGGCCCCCCCCCCCCATGTTCTGGATCCAGCCTTGCTAGTACACTTCAATCCCTTCACTTGAAATTGACATACAGGGTTTTAAAGGGTTTATACATGTAATTAACCTAAACCATGAAGTATTTTTTATAACAGCGCCCTCTGTGAGTCAAGCTTAAGAGCAGTTATGATAAGAACTACATGTGGAACCATTTCAATCATCCTTGCTTTACCTGCACTCTAGATTGTGAAATCAAAATCTACTTTTCCAAGTTTGTTGGTATTCTGCAGGCAGGAAGTACAGTACAATGCGGAAAATATAGCAGTGGCTGCTGATGTTGCCATTCCTGGTTATTTAACCATGGAGGAATAAGAATTAACGCACTTGAATGTCGTGCAGACAAACATCGTCCATCAGCCTAATGTGATGGCTAATGATGTGGGAGGAATATGGAATTTGTTTGTTTGAAGAAGCCACTGGCCCCTCCGGTCTTGAGCAGTGGCTGGAATGTGCTCTGGGTATACGTTCCTCCACGTCCAACTCGGTCCAGGAATAATTATTCTCAAGTTTTGGCGGAAGATATAAATCTTGAGGATTTCCTCTGGCCCATGTTCGGATGGGTTAACAAAACTATCAAAGACAGGGATGATGCCAAATACACAAAGTGTTTAGAGAACTGCAGGATAGGATGTATACGCATGATGCTCTGTTGGAGTGATTGAAATATGGAAAGCATTAAAGGGTGCATGACATGCAGTTTACACTGGAATCTATTTTGTACAAATATCCATTCCTCTGAAATGTATGAAAGTAATGACATTCCTTTTTGGCTAATTTTTTTTTATAAACTCCACTTCTTTAAACATTTAAGAAACAATTCCAAGCTTTTTCTGACAGGTGAGGGCGCTGTTGCTGTGATGTCAGTTTTGGTACACATTCTTCAGTCATGGGGTGTTCTGTTCAAATTGTGAAGCTGAGTTTTTTGGTTACTGAAAAAAAAATGTGCACAAATTTTGTTCATAGACTTACTTTCATGTACTAAAACGGTGTACAAAATGTACATGTATCACTAAAACCAAACAAATTAGCTTGGCAAAACCCCTGAAATTCTGGAAACTTTTGATGCTGGAGCAGCTGCTGTATAACGCTGAAGTTTCTGCCTAAAATGACATCACAGTTTTGCTCATGAATATGGGAATATGCATAAGCAGCAGAACCGAAAAGATGTCAAAACACCCTTGGAAATGGCAATATGCAGATTGAAAATAAGGATAAATGGGACATGCATTGATACAAATGTTATTACATGGGGCCCTTTAACCCTCCTGCTATTTAAACAGTCACAGACAGTCAAAATTCATTTCCACTTCCCCTACTATACAAAGGCTATGTCACCAGCAGTCAGAACATATGTCAAGGAAGCACTGTGACTAGTCAAACTGGGTCAACAGACAAAGCAGCCAAGTTGTGGTCACAGCTGTTTTATCACCCACCCGGAGTCAAAGCATAGATGCACCAAGTTACTTGAACAGTCCCAGCCAGTCAATCCTGCTTTATGTAGGCTGGGAATTCTTAACTGTTGAAAATAGTCACTTGTTTGATTTTGACTGAAAGGATACATTTGCGGTATTGACGTGGACCTTTCTTACTATAGGAACCTACATACATGTAATCTTTTGAATAAGGATTTGCACTGAAACAATTAGAGCAGCACAAGGAGCACTCCTCAATTTGGATCAGAAATAAAGTTGCATCATGTACAATGTATGTAAAATTCTTGTGAGTAGCTCAAACGAAGCAGGTGCTCTAAATACCGTACAGAAAGATCCATTGCCAGTCCTTTTCCCTTTCAAGAACTGGAACATTTTGTAGATATTTTAATAATAAACATTCATTGATTTGATCTCAAATCAGAATTGAATCAGTTGATATATGCTTTAAGTCTTTTGGGGAAGTTTTGGCCAACTGCCCTCCCACATTCTCATTCCCAAAATACCATTACCCACATGTATGTACATTGACATACCCGCATTCACCAGTAACGGTAGTTCCAGGTTTACGTTAAACATTGTTAAACAGACGTAGTTTCACTTGAATCTCGTGATGCACTTCTTACTCTGTAGAGTGCACACTAAGAAAGCAGAAGATTGACACCATTTTGTCAAAACATTCTTTGCAACCGATGCTTCTAAATCATCCAAATGGCACCACTTAACTTTCCTTATCAAGAAAAAAAATAAAACATACGGACATCAACAGCTGCATGGAAGAAATATGACGTGCTTGTGTTGCACGTCAGACAACGTGCCAAAGAGAAAACTAGGATATCGTGCCAATAAATGAAGCCACAGAAGTGGAGGGTATTACAGCAAATCCTTCATCAGACACTCAGCTCATTGTTCTACTCAGGATGCTACCAAAGACTTTATCTTGGCCTTTGCCTTGTGCTGTCTTAACCAGGTTTTTTTGAAAGAGAGGTTTCAATTTGACGTTCTATACATGTAGGCTAGTTTACAATATAAAGGCCGGTTCATACTCAGCGCAAAATCGAAAGCTAATACGAATTTGTAATGTTATGGCAATTATTTGCGGAGAATTTGTGAAAGTTGAACATACAATGTATTTCAACTCGGGCGAATTTCGCAGCAAATGTTTCCTGAGGTCAAAGTTGCTTCGCATTCGCACTCGCATGAAGTATGAATCATGCTTATGACAAATTGTGTGGTTTGATGGTAATCCAGTATTTTCTTGTCTAATATTCCCCCCTCCCCTTCTATTCGCTTTATCAACCCTCCAAATTTGGAACAAGTTGACTCATTGTTTATTATTGGCATGGAAACAGTTTTTTTGTTCTTTTGTTCTTTACGTCCATGTATTTTTGACTAGTCATTAATCTCAAATTTTGTACAGGAGACTAAACCTTTTTTTCCCCCCTTCTTTTTTTGTGGTAATTTTTGGGTTTTTTTTAGGTGGGAGTGGGGGTAAGGGAGGAGGGGGGGATTTGCAAATTTTTGGCCCTCGGGAGGGCAAGACAATTTACAAAGTAGTAAAGAACTAGTCGTCATAAAATATGTTTGATGAGATGGGAATAACAATAACAATGTAATGAATCATAACTGAAATTACTGTTTACATGTACATGTATCTAGTAAAATGATGAATATATTGATTTTTTTAGTGCAAGATTTTGTGCCTCTTAAATTTAATTCTATTTCTTTCCCACATGTTGACCAGCATGAAGAAAAGTGGAAGTGAAAAAGTAAAAACAAATTAGCAATGTCATGCATTGACATTATTAACTTTTTGAACCTAATGAATCCTTTTTTTTTCTATGCGTGCATGCAGAAAATGATGCTGAATTCAATTCGTCACCGCTGCTTGTGAGTGGCCTTTGCAAACACAAACCCGAGAGCAGACCTAGTGACGCAACTCCCTTCCCCCACACATCTGGAAATCAGGATGGAGCTACCCACGTCTCCCCTTGGCGGTGGGGAGTCCGAGATGGACTTCTCCATGAACGTTTGCAGCCCCGAGGCCATGGCCTACTCGCTGTTTGAGGAGCGGGAACCCTCCCCACCTCCGCCAACCACCACAACCGCCACAGAGGCACCAGTACCCCCTCCCCCACCACTGCCACCTGTAACTGACAAGGTAACCGATAACCAGACAGCATCAGTGATTATGTCGGCCATCCCAATTGTGACTATTCCGCAGACTACCATGGTGACGCCGACGATTATTCAGGTCCAGCAGATCCAGCAAGTGCCGCAGCAAAGGTTGACTTTGCAGCCGATTCAGGCGCAGACGATACAGGCGCAGACGATACAGGCGCAGACAATACAGGCGCAGACAATACAGCCAGTGCAGCAAACTATCACATCACAGCAGCTGCAACAGCTGACCCTGCAGCAGCAGCTACAGCTGCAGCAGCAGTTGCAGCAGCAAGGACTGCGGTTACAGGGACAGCCACAGCTGGTATTAACTCAGGCACAGAACCAGCCGATACAGCAAGTGCAGTTACAACAGCAGCAACAAATACGAGCTCAGCAGCAATTGCTCCAGCGACAGCTGCTGGAGCAGCAGCAGAAGCAAGCGTTGAAGCTACAACAGCAACAACCTGTCATGCAACAACTGCAGACTGTACAGCAGCAGTTGCAGCTAAGAAAGCAACAACTGCTGCAGTTGCAGCAAGCTCAGATAGCACAGCAGGGTCAACAAATACAAGTGCAACAGGGACCAGGGACACAGACAGGACAAATACAACTCCAGCAGTTGCAACAGCAGCAGCAAATACAACGGCAACAGCAGCAACAGCAGCAAATACAGCAGCAACAGCAGCAACAGCAAATACAGCAGCAACAACAACAAATGAAGCAACAACTTCTGCAGCAGCAACAGCAGCAGATGCAACAGCAGCAGCAACTTTTACAGCAAGGACAGCAGCAGCAACAACAACAGCAGCAAGGACAGCTGCAGCAGCAACAACAACAACAACAACAACAGGAGCAGCAACTTTTACAACAACAGCAGGAGCAACAGCAGCAACAACTGTTACTGCAGCAACAACAATTTCTACAACAGCTGCAGCAAGAGACCACTGAGAACACGATTGATCCCATTGATATGGAGGCTAAAAGTCCACAACATTCAGTCGATGAAGTATCCATCACGGAAAATCTTGAAAAGAAGAAAGATGGTAAGTATCCACTCACTCAGGTTTTCCTTTGTTCCCAACGATAGTGGATTGTGCATATCTAACAGCATGGTTAGACCAGCGTGCCTGCTCGCACTAGTACGTCTTCGGAAACTTTTTCTTTATTTGGCCCAAGGCTTTCCTAGGGAACCAATCAGCGATCGCGCGGCGATGGTTGTAAACATACGCACTACGTGCATTGATCAAGCATCGCTCATTAGATATGCAACGCAGTGATACCCCCGAGCGAACGACTGCCGATATCAAATGGGAAACCGCCGTTTTGTTCCAAGATATTAATATTTACACCAATGGTCTAATTTACATAAAACGGCCACGCCCCCATTACTGCAAGATTTCCAAGACGTTAGTGCAAGAAAGTATCCAAAAAAACCCAATTGTGCGAGGGCGCTCTACAACAATGCAACCATTGCTATCGATCACTGACGCCTTGGGCCAAGACTAAGGGTTATCACAAGTCAATCACAAGTCATGCAATCTTTAGCGAAGTGACAAGCTGTTCAAATGAACCGTGGATAACCATTCCTTTGGCATCGTTCAATACCGTGTAACTTGCAAACCTGTGATTGACTTATGATTACCTAAATGACAACTTTGCTTAGGAAAGGGGGCATACACATACCCTTGACACATCCTAGGGTTGTGGAGCCTTTCTACCACTCGGGACCCTCTACCATTCCAGCGTGATGCCCATTGAGAATATTGAGAGACGTTTCCAAAATCAGCTTTGCCTACATGTACTGTACAGCTTTGGTTTTAGGCTTTGGTTTTTAAATTTTAATCCCTGAAACCTTCCAGCTCAGTGCGGCCTTATATGAAACATCGATTCCTCAAAGCAAAAATTAGAGAACGTGATCATTGCCAATGTACATTTTCATCCTTTTTAGCGAGCCTTCAAAATGTCACTGGAGTTTGAGGTAAAGCCAAAGTTGCAGAAAAGCCAAGATTTGATAAAGGAAAACAAAAAGTGCCTACATATATGAAGTATCTAGTTGTGACCACCAATTCTCACTTCTTCTTAAGACCAGGTCATTCATAGTGTTGCTGCAGGCCAACTTTTTATATCCTCTCTTGTGCGTTCCTAATTTGCACAAAGGCAACCCACCGTCAACCCATAAAACAGCAGATGATCCATGCCAGATCATTAGCCAGTTATCAAACATTGCCTTTTGTCAATCATCACCTCCATTTAGCTTCAAGAAAACTCCCGCAATGACTTTTTTGGCTTGTATTATTTCAAGTTATTAGGGTGTTGATTATGAGGTCAAGGTGTTATGTATTGTTTACAAAGGTGGAGACAACTTTCAGAGTGCCGGTTGCACCCCCAGGAGTTCCAACTCAGCAATGCTCGGAGAAAGTGGCGTGATTCCGTCAAATGATTTTTTGGAGATATTTCAGTGCCTTGGTGTTGTGTCACAGCATTTTGAATAGGAGTCCACATGCCAAACCTACATTTTTCTTGTGGTGGGAGGAATCGGATATTTCAAAATCCGGTTGTTCTAATTTTTTTTCAAACTGAATGATGGTTATCTGATTTCCCCGGAATTTCCCATCCAGCTCACAGTCACGCCAACAAAATGTGACGAGTGAGGTTCCACATGAAGTGCCCTCCCATTGACTGGGTTTTACCGTAGTTTGCAGGATTCAATGACCACTGGGCCTTTACACAAACACTCAAAGAGCTGTAATGTTGAAGAAAAAATGGATTGGAACTCTCTGATAAGTTGAATGGGCAGGCTGTTCATGTACCAAGAAGACCACTATACTGGTAGCAAGTGAATGCTGTTACAATCAGAGACCATGGAGCAAATTGTGGGATGTTACAGTTGTTCTCTTAAGCACATATGTGATGCGATCAAGCTACACAAGTCGTTTGTCGACCCTGGTCAATTTTTTTTTATTACGGATTTCAAAAAGCACAATCTCAGAATTACTGTGAAAACCGCATGATGATACCATCTTTAGTTAAAAAAATTATGGAAGTCGGAGCACCAAGAGATATGATGAAGTGATGCGATGAAGTGGCCCTATTTTGGCCTGTACCGTATCTCCACATAACAATTCCCGACAAACAACTCAATTAGCTTGATCGCATCACATACATACATGTATGTGTCACACACAAAAATGGAAGGGTTGATTTTTTGTATGTTGGTTTCGAATATCCGGTTTCCAAAATCAAAACCGAATAGTGGAATTCAAACTGTGAAAAATCCAAATTTAAAATCCCACCACAAATTGTTTCCAGTTATGACATTAAGATATGCCATTCACAGATTGAAAAACAGGAATTCAGACAATGTGGGCCTGAATTTCAATGCAAATACAGTCGGTTGTTGGTATGAGATCGTGAAATTCTTCCTTTTTTTAGCTGATATTTCGACAGAGAAGGGTAGTCAGGTTGCCTATCATCTGTCTTCAATCAATGAATGCTGTGACACAACATGATGGATTGGAGAGCATCAAGGCAATATCAAAGGGTTAATAGTGCATCGATGTGTGTCAGGGGTTATCAGCTCCTTCCGTGGCTGCTTTGTGTCAAAAAAGTTCTTTCAATATCATATTTTTTGTCTGGATAATTTGGAATTCTGGCATTGATAAAGGAGAGTTGCAAAGCCAACGTATTGTTCACACCCAGGTCATCTGGGTCTTGTTCCTGATAGTCATGCTAACAATTTACTATGAAGTGTTTTCTTTACAACGAGCACCAGACTTGAGGAGGACAAAAGCCTCATTGTGATATATCCCAGGTGCAAGGTCTAGCTCTCTGAAGTCATAGTTAAGTTTTGTGTGATGCAGGTGTGCCACATTGTGGTTGCCAGACTATTTGTTTTTAGACACTAGCCTCGCTACGAGGCTGCATCCATACTTGACTACGTCTTGGAGTTACCCATGTATCTATGGGAAGTGACTTCACCTGTGTGTTTGTTTCTGCATTCAATATGGGACATTGAACAATAGAGGACAATAGGGTCCCCAATTCCCAAAGGTCCCCAATTGACGATCGTGTACAAAACATATGGGAGGTCTTCCTAAAAGTTTGATTAGAAACAAAAGAGGGACAATAGGGGGTCCCTGATTGCAGGCAAATATACCGGTACACACTTGTGCGTACCAATAGGCTCATTCTAAAATTTAGGGTTCTACATGTTTGTAAGTGTGACATTTGTGAAGTGTTCTGGCAAAATGAGGGTTTGCGGGTATTAGGAAAGAGAATAAAATTCTCCTTACAATACTGTTTATTGCACTTCCTTTGGACTTTCCGTTGGCGAGCTATGGCTGTTTAAATTTCGCATTTATCGACAATTTTGTCAAAAAAGGAAAATACCGAGAAAAAAGCCTTTAAAGTTTGGGATTTTGTAGTCGTGAAAATGAAAGATGCCAACTGTGTTTCCTTGAAAACACTTTTATTTTAAAATTTTTATACTACATTTTGTATTTCTTTAAAATATGTGTACATAGTAGACTTATCAAAGATAATAAATAACTTTAAATCCTGAAAATCGAAAAACAATAACCCCAATTCGTTTTTTCCCCCTTCATTTTCTCCACTACGGCCTGTGGCCAGTTCCGTCTCATTTTGCCAGAATGCCTCACATTTTCCTGTCCCTGTTTCTCTGTGAACTGTTTAATTTGTCATTCAAGTGTCATTGAGAATGACTTCAAATTATTATTTTGTGTGTGTGTGTAGGTACAATATATACAATGTACATGTAGTTTACTATTCATAATCAGTCTTGAAGGACAACTACAATAAGGAAAGCATTCATTGGTATCAGCTGTAACAGAGACAGGGAAAAAAGTGGACCCCACATTTATAGAATGACCGAGTTGCAAGCCTATACATGCTATAATAGCATAAGATCAGTAGGAAAAACCGGCACACTTGATGTCAGTGGTCTATTAACAGTCATAAATAATGCCATGTGGTTCTCTTCCTTACCACCCCGATGCAATCGAAACAAGGGATTAGGCCCCGTGGGGGTATTTAGCCTATTCTGCGGTTGACTTCATCACAGTTGGTAGAACTTGAACTTAAATAATAGGGGGGGGGGGATGAATCGACCGGCGAGCTAGAACTTAGATCATTGACCTGATGGCTTCAGACATGAATATAACCCACGGATCACTGTCCTTACACATGTACATGTACATCTGTGTAGATTCCTAACCCACAAAGGATAGTCTGGTTCTGTTTCAGAACAAAAAAAATAATACTTTTGTTGTCTGGTGTCTGTATTCCTTCAGAGGACTGGTGAGATTTAACTTTGAAACTTCATGAGTTTTGAGGGTTTTTTGTTTGTGAAGAATCTAATAAAATGGACATGGTCAGGTTGGAAGGACATTGTAAAGGCAACGTTACATGTGTGTGTGTATGTGATAGTAAAACGAAATTTGAACAAATTTGTGACAACATTGATGTATGGAAACTCTTTGGATAAAAAAGAAAAATGGACAAAACTGAAAATGATACACTTGCATAAATGAGCAACAAAATGCCTTGCCCAAGGGCACACGCACCACAACCCCAGAATTACCCGCAGATCATGAGTTCAGTACTCCAGACCAGGAGGCTGAAATGGCAGCATCCAACTGTAGGCCTACTCCCCAGGGAGCTGAGCTATTTGGAATGTTTCATTGGCCCTATGATCAGGGGTAGTAATACATGCTTTGATCTTGGTTAGAAGCGCTTTACATTTTATACAATGTACCGTATGTAAGTACCTGTTATTATTATTATAGTACAACACCATTCTTCAAACCTACGGTATCTCTAAGAAAAGGTACCCGGTACGTTGTACTTCAGTCTCTATAAAAACAAAGGGTTTTCCTGTACTTTTTACTATAGTTTACGTACACGTACAAAGTTGACCTTCAACATCATTCCAGCCTTGTGTATGAACTATTTTTATTCCAAAATTATTTGTAAGCCACAATTTGTCAAAATATTGGCTGTGAACACTGTAAGCACTGCTTAGAGCTCGACCCAGGCCCCGACCCCAGGCACTTTTTGCTCTTTCTTGATGCAAAAACTGGCGAACCTGTCAGCTTGATGACTTCTTAATGTCATCCCACGGGTGTCTGCTGCCCCTTCAACAAAACCAGGAGCTGTAACAGATACACTCCATATCCATTTAATCCATCTACCAAATATTTGAACAGAAAAAGAAAATCCAAAAATTTGGGAACAACATCCAAGCGCGCGGGACATTTCATGGCAGAGTTAGCCCTGACAGACAGACAGCTTAAAATGTATTTAAACGGGGAAGACTTGGTGTCCGAGTTGAGAACTTCACTCACCAGGACTGCCAAAAGTTGGGACAGGAATGGCTCTGAATGGCTTTAAATACCTACACAGTTTGCAGAGGGATTTCAAGGAATGGTAACCTGACTGTACAATGGTCCCCCTTTGCAACTGTATTGGACCTAAGGGACAGATCCGGACTTATGGCAAAATCCTGCTGTCTTGCAACTGAGGATTGGAAACTTTCAAAGAGTCTTTTTTGGGCATCCTGCTCTGGGGACCACCATACATGTACGGTAGATTTCTAACCATAGAACCTGTACTACGCCACACCTGTAATCCATTCACATTTTTTTTCTCTCTCTGCTTCAGGACTATATTTGATTTGTCATTTCTGTTCTCTGGCATTCATACAACATGCCAAGGGAATGGGACGATGACC